GAGATGATCAGCTCCAGACCCTCGCGCTCGCAGTGGTGTGCCAGCGCAGCCAGCTCCGGAGTGGGGATGTCAGCATCGCCCGGCAAGTAGGCTGATGCTACCACCACGTCAGGCAGGTTTTTCATGAGGGTTCCTTTAACCTAATAGAGGTAAGGTCTCTGGAACAGAACTCGGTCATTAAGGTAGTACACGCATGTTTTGGTGTGTAAATACAAGTGCGCGGGTTATGAATGGTAGTGTTGAGAAGTATCTTACCTCCAATATTGTTTAGACCGCAGATCCTGCCCTTCCTAATCCACGGCTCCTGGATTAGGGCTACGGTGTTGGTTTTTACCTCCAGCTCTCTGCGTAGGTTAGCCGTTGCTGTATGGCTGTGCTGGAGGTTGGTTTGGATGGCTATAAGGGTGTTATGGGGGGGGGGGGTGCAGACAGCGCCATCATCGCTGTTCAGCATATCCTCTATGTCGTCGAGGTCACTCTCGCCCACCGGTAGGTCCTCCAACTCCTCAGGAGGTGGACCCCGGCAGGCTGTCTCCTCAACGGGTATCAGAGGATCCCCTCCATTGCCGTCCTTAGGGTGTTGTGGGGCCGATTCTGGCTCCTCGTCTGGGTTAGTTGGTGGGGCGGGACGTTCATCAAGGAAGCGAACGTAGAGGTTACCTAGTTTGTAGTATACTCTACGCCAATACCAATACCATCCGGATGTACTCTGAACGCATATGCTGATGACGGCTTATTACTGGTGGAATCTGATACTAGGGCGGGGCTTGGAAGATTAGCCAATAGATGTTTGAACTTGATATCTCAATGGGGTGAACGTAATCGCTTAAATTTTGCACCCAACAAAACCTTCCAGCTACTTTTAAAAGGTAACCTCAAATCACCGCCAAGCATTAGATTTGACAATGTTACTGTAAAAAATAAGGCCTCAGTGTGTTACCTAGGATTAGTTTTAGAAAGAAACTTTTCATTTATCGAACATATTAAAATAGTTAATGAAAAGTCTAAAAAGAGTTTCTGTGCATTGACAAGGATATCATCTGCGACATGGGGTCTATCATTTAATACATTAAAGATCATATACGGAGCTACTTATTTAGGTTCTATGTGCTATGGTGCACCTGTATGGGCCGATAGGGCGACCGTAGGCGCTGTCCGTCGCAAACTGTTACAAGGCCAACGACTTGCACTGATATTCTTGTGCAAGGCATATAGGACGGTTAGCACCGAGGCTTTGCCGGTGTTGGCGGGTGTGCTTCCGGTCGATCTCGAAGTGCAGAGACGTGCAGCCATGTACTATTCAAGACAACAAAACATGGAATGCGATTTTTTGGGCGCGCGGGATCGCGGTAAAATTACAAGATTGCTTCAACAGCAGTCCGATGTCTATAATGACCTCATAGACGAATGGCAACAACGCTGGGATGAATCATCCAAGGGGCGCCATCTTTACCAATTCTTTCCATCTGTTCGCGAACGGTTGTCGAGGACATGGCTTGAGGTGGATCACTGTGTCGCTCAATTTCTTACGGGTCATGGTAACTTTAAGAGCAAGCTTTATTCATTTAAATTAGTCGAGTCACCATTGTGTCAATTCTCAACATCTAACTCTCACTATGAACAGTCTGCTCATCATATCCTCTGGGTATGTAGTCTTTGGTATAATGAACGTAATATAATGCTGAATACCTTGCAGGTGACATCTGGGGCGGTATACTATGGGGATCTTGTGTCAACTAGAGTGAATTTCCGTGCGTTTAGGCGATTCTGCCATACATATTATAGAAATCAAATATAGCTCACGTAGGACCCGTAATATTTCGTGGCCGTGGTGCTTCCCTGTTTAAAAGGGTGTATGAACATTTTATTTCATTTTGTGTCCCGCTTTGCTAAGGAGGGAAGTGGATTTACTGTATTTCCAACTCCTCCAATTTTCTTCTGATTAATTTCGTTGCGGGTTCCAAGACAGTTTAATTTCTTCCTGGGACTTCCCGAGTGTCATAACTCGGTGTGTTCGTGGGTCACTGCTGTGGATCCTGGTGTACAGGAGTTACAGTGGTGGGCATGTGGGCGGGATTAGTCCCATACTCTACGCTCGCTAGCCTTGAGCTTCACGACGTCCTCTTCTGGGATGCCGAGCACTAGGAAGAGACATTTCTTTTCCTCCTGCGCCTCGGCATGGTAGAGGGCCCAGTTGGCCACATTGTACTGGCTATTCTGGTACTTTAGCCTTGTTTGTATACGGACCAGTGTATCATCTGGTCCGATTTGTGGTACCAGGAATCCAGCCTTGATCCTTTTCGGGATCTCAGACTGCCTCCTGACGACCAGTTTGGTGCCTTCCCGTGGTGATGGGATCCTTGCCAGGGATCGGCGAAGCCACTGTAGGGCATATTCGTCGTTGCACCACATCTTAAGGGTGCCCTCACTGTAGAAGGCCTTGCCCCTAAACTGTGGCGCAGCGACGGGTGCGATTGACGTGCCGGGCGAGAAAATCTCCTCATCTAGCACGCCCTGCAGCTGGCCCTCGATGTCCTCTGCCTGTGCCTTGGTGAGGTCGTGGTAAGGCTCCAGCATGACCGCGACGCAAAGGTCATTCGCCTTTAGTGCGTCGGAGTAGCTCGTGGAGCCGGTCTTTGGCAGCGGTTTGAATCGCTTGCCACTGCCCTGGGGATCTGAAGGCGTATGAGAGGAGATGAGAACGCACACGGTGCCGCAGCGCGTGTTTTTGAATTCTATGAGTTTAAAAATCAATTAACGTGGTATTATCGCCGTGTTTTGATATTAACTTCAGTGTATCAGTTCTCAATAAAAGCAAACATTCGTGTGAAAGTGTGTTTTGTGGATTTCTACTCGTAATATGGACGTTTTAAACAAAAGTGAGGCAAAGCACTAATAAAATTACCGGACATTGCAAAGGAATAAACAAGTAGTTGACTTAAACGCGTAAGCGACACGTATTGCGCGGCGCTTACGACCTTTTTGCCGGGCGATTTGGCAACTAACTTAATAGATCGTTTCGAACGAAAGTTTTACAACCGTGATTTGCGGTAGGTACTTGAATTTATTTGAACAAAAAAGTGATAATGACACCGCCTATCAACACAATTATGCAGAAATGTGTGGGATGCAAAAATGAGATCTCCCAGGAGGAACATTTAATCTGTATGTTATGCAAATCTAAATATGATTTACTATGTGCGAATGTATCGGTGGCTCGCTTTAAAAATATGGATCAGAACGTAAAAAGTACATGGCGTTGCCCAGAATGTCGTAGCAAACAACCAAAAGCCGACAATACTAACACGCCTATACGTTCTGCGACGACGGCCCCCGGAGTTAGAGACGAGTCTGGTCTTGAGTTGGACATGTCTCACAATGTAACGCACCGACGTAAGCCCAGCAAGTCAACAATTATGCCCAGTCCCGTTACACGGACTGGTGCAGACTTGTGTGAGTCTGACTCCTCAGAAACTGAACCAGTCCGAGAATTGAGTCTATTCTTGAAGGAACTGCGCGCAACTCGTATTGAAATGAGCAACCTCAGGAGCTCACTCATTGATTTAACGGGGGCAGTTCAAAAGAGTAATGAACGTATGGATTCACTAGAAATTAGAATTAATGATCTAGAGGGGAAAATAAACAATGAGGATCGTGCGGACATTCGAAATATGGAAAGGCAAATTGATCAGCTTAAGCTGGACCTACAGGAACGTGAACAAGAATTACTATCTAATGACGTTGAGATAGCGGGTATTCCAGAGACACCGGGGGAAGGTATCAACCATATCGTACTTTCTGTAGCCGCAAAGTTGGGCGTTCAACTGGAGGAACGCGACATAGTGGACGCGGTACGAGTGGGAGTGCCGCGCGCCAGTGTAGAGGGCGAGCCTGGTCCACGCCCGCGGAATATTGCAGTACGAGTATCCAGAAGATCTAACCGCGACGCATTGCTGAAGGCCGCCAGGGTCAGGCGTGGAGCTACAACAGCGGGTATGGGATTGATCGGCGCTCCGCGTAAATTTTATGTAAATGAAAGACTTAAGAAACTGAATCGGCAGCTATTTGGAAAGGCTCGTGAGTTTGCGGAACGCCTTAAATGGCGATTTGTGTGGACACGTGAAGGTAAAATTTATGTCAGAAAAGATAACGGCTCAACGCGTCATCGTCTTCGATCGGATTCCGACTTGTCCGGGGTTTTTGGTGACTGTTTTGTTGGTGCAAAATCTTAAAGTGGCTAGTAGCCTTGCCCTATTGTTCGGCTTAAGCATTATAATATTGTGTGGTGTAATTATTGGTTCTCTCAGTTATTGGGCTTTGTATAAATATGAATCTTATTTGAGAACAGTTAACTTTAAAATTATCTGCGATTACAAATGTTTTTGCGATTTTGTTTGTGGATTTTTACGGAACCTGACACTTGAGCTTGCGTTGGACAAGCGGAATTGTTTCTGTGATATCAATACTATCTGTTTAAATTATTCACATTGCATAAATGATTTGTAGTAAGAGAAATAAATTGGTTTTGGGACTGCTAAATGCACGATCGTTAAATACGGGACAAGATGAACTCCTGGCTAGTATTGACTTACATAAACTAGACATTTTGGCTGTAAATGAAACCTGGATTAAACCTGGTGAAGAAAAATTTGCACCCGTGGTGCCGGGCTATGTATTAAAACATAAACCCCGCACTACGGGGGCGCGTGGTGGTGGCGTTGGCGAGGCCCCATTCTGACTCTTTACTGGAGCAGTTATGGTTGGAACTCTCTCTGCCTGGCAGGGGACGTCTGGCGATTGGTACAGCTACACACCGGAACCGGCTACAGGCCGGAATCTATCTCAGTGGAAGCTGCTATCGAGGCTCTGAGCGAATCGGTGAGTATGTTTCATATTGTAAGCATCTTCTTCTTTTGACTGATTTTAATGTTGACTTTCTGCAACCTGATAAACCATCTACTCGTGAGGTACGCAACTTTCTTACACAACACAATTTGGAGATGGTTGTTCGGGACCCTACTCGCATTAGCAGTAGTTCCGCATCACTTATAGACCTGATTATAACTGATTCACCCAGAATGTGCAAGAGTGTTAGTGTTCATCATAATCCGGTTCTCAGTGATCATGCAATGGTAATATTGGAGTTCAATATAGAAAAGTTTAGGGAACCTCCGAGATATATATCTAAACGGTCGTTGCATAAAATTGATCAAGAAAAATTTTGTACCGATCTCAAACATATCTCATGGAATGACATTATGGCGTTGTCGGATGTTGACGATCAAATTCAGCGCTTTAATGAGATGTTGTTGAACCTATTCAATAAACATGCGCCTTTAATACGCTATAAAATATACACACGTCCAACACCTTGGATAACTCAAAATGTAAAATTGATGATGACTATTCGTGATAAAGCACTGGACAGAGCTCGGAAATCCAATAATGACGCCCACCTAGATTATTATAGGAATTTAAGGAACTATGTAACAGGAGCTATAGAGAGAGAAAAAACAGCTTTTTTTAACTTCTATGTAAATAATAATAAAGACAAGCCTAAACAGATGTGGAATCAGTTGAAGAGTATATGCCCGCTTAGTAGCAGCGACACACTAATGACGGTACCTCATCACCTTTGTGACCCAAACAAAATTAACAACTTTTTTCTGGACGTGCCTGGTAAGGATATCCTTACCAGGCACGTCCAGAAAAAAGTTGTGTGTTGTTGTGTAGTGTGTTGACACTCAAACATTACAATTTTTTAAACAAAATAAATTTGCAAGAAAACAGTTCGTTATTGAAACAAGTACATCTGATGAGGTTTTAAAAATAATCAAAAGCATTAAAACAAGAGCTTGTGGTCATGATTCCATCACTATTGATATGATACGGTTAACCCTGCCAATTACCTTGGCAGCCATTACGGCAATTGTTAATAACTGTCTACGGTCTAAAAAATTCCCTAAAACCTGGAAAATTGCTAAAATTAAACCTATTCCCAAGGGTTCTAAGGTCGAAGAACTAAAAGACTTAAGGCCAATTAGTATTTTGCCAGTCATGTCTAAAGTTGTAGAAAGATTGATATGTACTCAGCTATCCAAATTTCTTGAAAATGAAGGCATTCTGAAGGACATACAGTCGGGGTTACGTGGTGGGTTTGGCACTGCAACAGCGCTTGCGCATGTCAGTGATGACATCGTGGCGGCGTCAGATGTTGGCATGTGCAGCGTTCTGGTATTGTTGGACTTTTCAAGAGCCTTTGATTGTTTGAATATAGAACTACTTCTTGAAAAGCTCTCGTATTACGGAATTTCAGATGAGTCACGCCAATTGTTTCAATCGTTTTTGACTAACCGCAGTCAGTTTGTTGAAATAGAGTCTGAACAGGGAGAATTGCTCAGGTCTGATATTCGTCAAATAAGCAGAGGAACACCTCAGGGGTCAATTTTAAGTCCGATACTTTTCATTCTTTTCACTTCAGATCTTCCTAAATATGTCAAGCACTGCAAACTGCATTTGTACGCGGATGACACTCAGGTATATTTTTCATTTAAACCTGAGCATGCAGAAATCTCAGCAGAATTAGTTAATGAAGATTTGAGCGCCATTTACAATTGGGCAAACAGAAACGCGTTGATATTGAATCCGGGTAAAACAAAATATATGCTATTGGGTACCAAAGTACAGTGTAATAAAGTAGCTACACAATCATTTCATATTAAAGTTGATGGGCAAGAAATACAACGAGTCGATAATGCTGTGAACCTTGGTTTGAAAATGGACAGTGAACTTCGTTTTTCTGAACATATAAATTGTAAGATAAGGAACGCTTTCTATAGGCTAAAAACTCTGTATAATATACGAAAGTATCTCTCAGAACCTGTTAGAAAGATCCTCGTAGAATCGATTATATTATCGCAATTTAACTACTGTGACACTGTCTATGGGCCTAGGCTTTATAACAAAACCAAGAATGCCATACAAAGAGTTCAAAATGCATGCGTTCGTTTTTGCCACAACGTACCTAAGCGATCCCACATTACGCCATATCTAAATTATGCCAATACATTGAAAATGGAGGCTCGTAGAAAAATACATTTTACATGTTTGGTACATAAAACTGTTTTTACGAAAACACCTAAATATTTATACGAAAAGCTAGTATGGGTTAAGGATGTGCAAGAGAGAAATACTCGCAGAAGAGAAGCCAACAACTTGGTAATACCAGCACACAGAACAGCTCAATACAAGGGAGGCTTCAAGTATTCTGCTTCAAAGATATGGAACGACTTACCTCCACCTCTGCGAAAAAGTATGTCCCTAACGACTTTGAAAAAACATTTGCTTAGAATACTTCTTACTCAACAGAAATTACTGTAGCGGAACCGTGTGTCCTTCGCACCCGTCTTTCATATTCGCTCTTAGTCTGGTCGTGAGGACCTGCATACATATATTGTAAACATAATTTTAACACTTTTTTGTATCCTTTCAATAAATAATCCTTTTTTTTTGTTTGTTATATACACTCCTGTCATTTTTTTTTTATGTATTACTATTTTATTATTACTTTATATATTATTTACTTGGATTTTATATTCATTGTGATGCGAGTTATCTGTGTGCGTTTAGTTTCTAAATGTTGGGGCAAATGTCAGGCGCCAGCTGAAAACCAGTGTTGTGCTTTCGCGCAACGTATACTGAGCTGGTAGCCCTTGCTACACATTTTGCCAAATGTATTATAAAATTAATTTTGTGTTTTAGTAATGTGCCTTGTATCCGTGTATGTTTTATGTTTCTTGTGTAGCAAAAATAAATGGTTTAAATGGTTTAAATGGAGTGCGAGACTCGTCCGGGCGAGTTCTTTTGACGGGCTTTGTTTCACTTGAAGGTTTCCCTCCACGTGTCGCTTGTTTCGCCCGTTTACCCTGTCCAGGTTGACCCTGCCTAGAGGGTACTTTGGCCGCTACAGGCGTCTTTTTCACAGACACCTTTCCTCAGCCAGACGTCGCTTAATAGCAGGCCACCAGGCGCTATCGAAGGCGCCCTCTATGTCCAAGGACACCATAAGGACCAGTCTCTTTTCATCAAGTCTAGCCCTTATGTACCTCATTAGGTCATAGAGGGCGTCCTCGGTGCTCCTTTGGGGCATGAAGCCGTATTGGCGAGTACTCATTTTCGGCAACAGATAGTATTTGAGGCGAGCAATCAGCATCCTCTCGTACACCTTCCCCAAGACAGGCAATAGCCCAATCGGTCTGTACGATTTGGGGACGGCGTACGAGTCCCTACCCGGTTTCCTCAGTACCACTACCACGGCTTCCTTCCAGATCTTCGGAAAGTAACCGTGGCGGAGGCACCGGTTTAATAGCCCCAGAAAAAGGGCGGGGTCTGATCCTATGGCGTGGGCACAGATATCGGCCGTGTAGCCGTCCGATCCCGGAGCCTTTTTTGGGTTGAACCGCTGCAACGCATCGAGGAGTTCTTCCGTTTTAAAAGGTGGATCATCGTCATGATGACCCTCTTCTTCATCCTCCTTTTGGACTGCTTCTCTGATGCGTCGATGTTCCACATTGTCTTCTTCTGCACGGTCCTCCGGATAGAAGACCCGTGCTAGTAGTTCAACCGAACCTTTCGCGTCCAGGTGGATCCCGTTCTCCTCCAACATTCGGTCCTCTTCTCTTGCGGTAGCCCTACCCAAAATCCGGTAGACTCCCTCCCAGACTCCCTCCCTGTCCTGCCTTTCGCAGAAGTCCTTCCAACTCTCGACCTGCGCCTTCCTCACTTCAGATTCATATCTGTCTTTTTGTTCCAGGTACTGCGAAACTACCCACTCTCTTCGGACCGCCGCTGCACACCTGATTCGGCGTCTTATGGTGGTAACTTCCTTTTTTAATATTGCTAGCCTCTCCGACCACCACGGCATAGTGAGCAACTCGCTACTCTTTTTCTTTGGGATGTTCCGGTCACACGCTTCCCCGACCAATCTGCTGTATTTTTCAGCAATGCTTTCCAACTCGCGAGTGTTAGTAGCATCTTCCGGTTTGATGTTATTTTCAGCGATTAGCCGGGTCAGCTGGACCCGAAAGCCGTCCCAATTCGCCTTCTTGGTGTTATACTTGCGTGTTGTGCGTTTGATGTTAATTCCTTTTGCTCTGTTCAGATTGATATTGAACACTATGCCGTTGTGGTCGGAGCTCACGAGACCCTCGTCGACTCTCCAGCCATCGATCCAGGCTATCACGTCGCTTGTGCAGGCGGTGACGTCCACGTAGCTGCAGTACCTCACTCCGCCCCTCACAGTGTCGAAAGTCGGAATGTTTCCGCTATTCAGGACATGGAGGTCCATCTCTCCAAGCGCTCCACTAAACGCCTCGCCTCTACTGTCCTCTATTCTGCTGCCCCACCAGGTGCTCTTTGCGTTTGCATCGCCTCCTAAGACGATGCGCTGGGAACCTACCTTCCTCCTGATGTCCTTCAGTCGCTCCAAGTAGGGCCCCACAGGTTCGGTCGGCTCGAAATAGAAGGACACCAGCGTGATCGTCCAGGCACTGGTCCGGATTCCCACCACCACGATGTTATCGGTGGTCAGTTGCGGGTACTGCACGACATCCAAATTTGGATCAAAGACGGCTATTGCCGCTTTTACAGTCCCTCCTCCTTGCCCGGTGTTCTGGAAGACCCTAACGCCCCGGTATGCCTTCATCCTTTTCACCGACCCCACGTAGGGCTCCTGTATAAGGGCGACTGCGACTCTTCGTTTTGTTGCTTCCAGTATAAGCTCATCGGATGCGAGCTTTCGCCTCTGTAGGTTTGCCTGCAGCACTCTGTATGGGGCAGCATCCACCGGGGAGCCCTTAGCAGTGGTACTGTGTATTTGTCCTCGCTATAATGTCCCACTTGATCCTAACCGGGCAAGAGTCGTTAAAGGCGTTGTGCCCGATGCTGCTCAGTTTCTCCCTCTGACAGTTGCAGCAGTTTGGTTCTGCCCCTGTATCGGTGTCGGGACACTCGGCTTTTAAATGGAGCCCGCCACAGTGACTACACCTTGGCTCTGTCGTGGTGCAGAACTTTTTACTATGCCCGTACCCTAGACACAGGGAGCACTGTACTAAGGGCGACTGATCCGCCACCCTTACTGGTTGTAGATCAATGTGCAGCCGCCCTATGTCCAGGGCGCGGGACCAAATCGCTGGGGAGACTCTGAGCACCACATGGCACGTGTGGGGATTTCTTGCCGTCCTCCTGTACAATACCGACACCCTGTTCTGCTCAGACTCCAGGCCACGGAATACGTCCTGATTCCTAGACCGTATAGCTACGAGCAGGTCCTCATCCTTCTGATTTTTGAGGACGCTGTACAGAATGAGAAGCGGGTCCTTATTCTTCACACCCTCCACAATGAGGCCTTTTTCTTTCTCTCTCAACCTCTCTTGGGCTCTATTCCTTTCTTCTTCTGTCCTATATCCGATTATTACACGTCTGTCCTTTGCCTTTCTTACTTTTTCGACTCTTACCCACCCTTCGTCTTCATTTGCAACCTTTCTCAGTCTCTCCATCACTTGCTCCCCGGTGTCCTTTTCATCTTTTGACGTTACGACCACAGAGTGCAGCGTCATCCGCTCTGGGAGCTGGGCACCAGGACGGCCCGCCACCGCCCTTGCATAGGTCGTAGGTCCTTTACTCTCTCTCTCCTTTTCTCTCTGGTCTTGCTTCTCAATCCTTTCCTTTATCTCGATCATAA